TGTGTGTGTGTGTGTGTGTATAATGTTAAAATGCATTTATTTAGGTACTTTTTCAGCAGTTACACATTTAAGTGGTTACACATTTACATGCTGGGGGGGAGGCTGCTCTTAAGGAGCCAGTGTGTGTGGGGTGCCAGCTTTTAAGCATCTGAGGCAGAGGCAGCAATGGGGAGAGAGGTGGGCAGGTGACTGCCCCGGAGCTGGTGTTTGTGGGGAGCCCGCTTAAAAGCTGGATCCTGCCTGCTCTCCCCTTATGCTGCTGCCTCTGTATCAGAGGCAGCAGCATGGGGAGGGTGCCTGCATGTAATAGTGAAGGTTAACTGATGAGCCTTGTACACACTTACACGTTCACATCCCTAATATATACATACAAATAAATGGCCTAGAACAAATTGTGAGGGAGTTTATGGAGGTACATGTGAACCTCAAGATTACAAACGCCTTGGCAGAGGTGGTTGTTTATAACTGAACAAAAGTTTGTGTTCTTTCAAAAGTTTGCAATGGAACATGGATTTAATACAGCTTTAAAACTATACTCTATGGCAGAAAAATGCTGCTTTAAACCATAGTAATTTAAAAGAAACAAGCACCAAAACAATTTTCTTTATCTTGTCAAATCTTTTATTAAACGTACCTTAACAAAAAAATTACTAAAATTAACATAGTACTGTGTTTGCTGCTTTTTTTTTCATTTGTTTTGGGTTATTTTGGTTGCTGCTGCTTAATTCCATACTTCCAGTTCCAAATGAGGTGTATGGTTGTCAGTTTACAATACTGGTATTCTCTGATATTCTGCTGTAAATGGTGTAAAGCAACATAGGTTAACCAGAGGTAGATTATGCCAGACTAACCTGATTTCCTTCTTTGAGGAAAATAACCGATTCCTTTAAAAGTGCAGTAGATGTCATAAACTTGGACTTCAGTAAGTGATTTACATAGAACCACATGAGAAGTACCAAATTAAACTAGGTGGTATTAGCATAAACATTGTAAGGTGGTTAAGGAACTGGCTAAATTGGAGAAAGCTATAGATCATGGTGAAAGATGAATTCTTCTTAGCCATAGCATTGCCCAAGGATGGGCTTGGGGCCAGGGTTTCAGGCAGCCACAGGAAGGAATTATCTCCTTTTCCCTTCATCCCCCCCACTAGGGATGTGAATAGTCGAGTACTCACTTCCCCCTACCCCTTACTGCCTCTGTATCAGTGGCAGCAATGGGGGGAGAAAAAGGAGCATGTGCTTAGCATAGCCAGTTTAAAGGGGGGGTAAGCTGGCTCTCTGCTCCTGGAAGGGGTGGAGTCTCAGGTAGAATGTGCCTGGCCAGTTAGCCAGTCTTCTCTGCCATATGGAGCAGGGTGCTCTGGTGGCAGCTGCAGCCCTGTGCCCTTTAAATTGCCAAGAGCCCCATGTCCCTTTGAATCACCAGGCCCCAGGAAAACTGCTCCCTTCTCACCACCTCCTGGTTAGCAGGCCTGTCTTTAACTATGTGATAGTAGGCTTTGGAGGTGTGTGATGGATCTTTTTTTCTTCCACACTAACTAATATAAACAGTAAACAACTGAAATTATGGAGGAACTGAACATGTAAGAACACAGAGAACGTAGCTATGTGTTTGTTTTTTTTATTGCCTACATCCAGTGGTGTTATATAGGGTAGGAGAACCCCAGTAAAAAGAAACCTGAGATGGATGTTTGCCCTGCTTATATTCACTGTGCTTCCTAAAGGCTGTTCATTTTAAGCTGCTCATAGAACAGGAGCAGAAGGACTGAGGCACAGGGCCACAGCTGTATTAAGCAGCGTTGGGTACAGAAGTGTATATCCTGCAGGAGAAGAGGTCTTGAACTTAACAGAAGTACATAAAGCTACTGTCAGGGAAAATCAAAGTTAGGTTTTTATCAAGTGACTTGAAACTGTGTATTATTGTCTCTGCTACTCAGAAACTGCACATTTTAGAAGCTGAAGACACTTTATTAGTAGCAAGCTATAATTATAGCTGAACTTGCTACTTTATCAAGTGACTGTGCCAAGAATGTAGTGTGCACTATCCAGTGGGACAATGACTCTTCTGTCCCTCTAGAGAATCCAACAGGAGAGGCCCTTTGAACTGCACTTCACTCATCTTCGCACTCCACTGTGTGAATGCACACGATAAATTGGTTTCTCACCACTTCTCCACGCAGATTTAAAGGCTTGCTAAAGCGAGGTCTCTAAGGCATGGGTTATCAGCAGGTTCCCGGGGAGCTGATTGACATGGTGCCTGTGCAGTCTCATTCCCATGTGCAAAATGGTGTTTAAAGAAGCTAAAAATATATAGTGTTTTTTTTCTACTTTTTAGGGATGTTAAAATATGGCTAATTGTATAAACTTGTAACCGCTGAGTTTTTTAGTGGTTATACACATCTGCAGCTGGCTCCCTGGAAGCAGGTTGGGAGCCTTTGTGTAACCATGAACATTAACCGATAAGCCCAGGTTTATCGGTTAACCTTTTACATGGTTATATATTCACATCCCTACTACTGTCACCGTTGCACATAATCTAGTGCTGCGACTAATAATGATGTGTTAGCTGGAGGGGGCCCAGGAGGTTGTGTTTGGGTAGCAAGGTATCTACAAGAAACTTTAGTAGGATGTGCAGCACTTTTAAAAAAAAAAAAAAAAAAAAAAGGAAAATCTCTTGAATTGAGATCTCATTATACTTTCACCTCACACTGCATTTATTAATATGTGATAAGGTGTTGAGGAAGCTAGTTGAGTCTTATCTCTGATCACATTTGGATGCCATCACCTGGATTTTTTCAAACAGCATGCTTATGAATTGACCCAGCTGGGTAACTCGCCCCTGGTGGCTTACTTATTAGCAAGAGTAAGTAACTTCAAGATTACTGGGGGCTGTGCCCCCTGCTTGCTACACTCACCAACCCCCTCCGGCTGCCTGGGAGGGCCAGGCTGAGGTGTGGCTGCTCTGGGCTGCCCCAGAGCTGCTCCCAGGCCAGTCCCATCTACCCCCTCCCCCCTTCCAGCCACCCGCGGGATTGGGCTGGGTTGAGGCTCTTCCCTGTGCCCCTGAGGCCGCCCCAGCTTTTACTCTGCCCCTTCTCCTCCCCCACTGCAGCCCTGGCTCCCATCCCTTCAAGGAAGGGTCAGAGGTCACGCCTAGCTCTCCCTGGCTGCCAGGGCGGAGTGGGGCTGCGTCTGAGCCTCACTATGCCCCTCACTCTCCCCTCAGCCACTGGGGAAGCAGGTGGAGGGAGGCCTCAGCATGGCAGCCAAACGCTGGGGAGGGGAAGAGAATCAGGCGGGACGCAGAGTGATGTGATGACGTCACTCTCTTGTCCCGCAGGAAACGTGTTTATTTTTATTTATTTATATTTATATATAATGAGAGATTTCCCAAATAATTTTGAGCGTGCCTGATAGCAATCAGGAATGCATTGTTTAACTATAACCTGGAGCAGACCTCTTGGCTACATCTAGACTGGCATGATTTTCCGCAAATGCTTTTAACAGAAAAGTTTTCCGTTAAAAGCATTTGCGGAAAAGAGTGTCTAGATTGGCACGGATGCTTTTCCGCAAAAAGTGCTTTTGCGGAAAAGCGTCCGTGCCAATCTAGACGTGCTTTTCTGCAAAAAGCCCCGATCGCCATTTTTGCTATCGGGGCTTTTTTGCCGAAAACAAATCTGAGCTGTCTACATTGGCCCTTTTGCGCAAAAGGACTTTTGCCCGAATGGGAGCAGCATAGTATTTCCGCAAGAAGCACTGATTTCAGACAGTAGGAAGTCAGTGTTCTTGTGGAAATTCAAGGGGCCAGTGTAGACAGCTGGCAAGTTTTTCCGCAAAAGCAATTGCTTTTGCAGAAAAACTTGCCGGTCTAGACACAGCCCTTGTGTGTGAGACTTCAGTGGCCAGCCCAAAAGGGAGCTTATGGTAGTTGTGCTAAACGTTACAAAACATTGTACTCCTCTAATTGAGGACAGCTTTGGTCTGATGATTCACTGGGCCTGATGTCCGAAGCAAGCAATGGGAAATAGACAGGCCCACCAACAAGGAGGAAGATGCAGAAGAGGGCAATTGCCCCAGAGGCCAGCGAATCAAAGGCACTGGGCTTTTAAAATTGCCACAGGATCATTGCACTGCACACTCTGTGCGAGGCTCTGAGGGCTGGAGAGAAGGGCTTGTCGTGCTCCAGACAGAGCAAAGGGCTAGCAGCCTAGTCCCACTTACTCCAGGAGTATGAAGCCAGGGCCCCCCAATCTTGCCCAGGAGCCCACAGAAGCTGTTAGCTCACTTGCAGTGGGCTAATGGGAGTGGGGGAGGAATAATGTAAAATCAAAGTGATGTGAAAGACTGGAAACTTTACTGAATAGAAATTGAAGCCCAAAATATTGTTTGACTAGTAATTAATCACTTCTGTTGGCTGTCATAATAGGGATGTTAAAATGTGTGTGATTTGCTAACCATTTAACGGCTGAAAATTTCACCTGTTACTGGTGGCAGCCAGCTCCCTGGAAGCCAGTGCCTGCCAGGAGCTGACTTTTAAGCTCGCTCCCGGCATGCACCAGCTGTATCAGAAGCAACAGCGTGGAGTGGCAGGCAGCTCCCTGAGAGCTGACTTAAAAGGCAGCTCCCAGTGAATTCTGTCTCCCGTCTGCTCCCTGGGAGCTGGCTGCTGTCCCGATACAGAGGCAGCAGCATGAAGTGGCAGTTGGCTTCCCGGGAGCTGGGTTGGGAACTGTGTGTAACAGTTTAGGTAACTGACAAGCTCATGTTTATTGGCTGCCTGTTTAAATGGTTACACTCTGCATCCCTTGTCATTGTATCCAGTTTCCTTCTTTAGTTGCCATCTTGCGCAGAATACTTTGGGGAAGGAGAGGAGGTGTTTCTGATTGCAGCTTTTTTCCCCCTCAAAAACACACGAGAGCTTACTGAAACAGACACCATCTCCTTTTAAGTCAACATAAGATGCTCTGCCTGGGCCTTGCTGGTTTCATATTTTGGAGAGGATTTGGGAAATGAGGGCAGGTCCTTTCAAACATAGCCTGTTGAATGAGCTGTTTGGTGTGTTTCTCCTTTATTATCTGGATTGATTCATTTGGTGCATCATTTCTCACAGTTTTGTCTGATCCTCTGACAAGTGAGAATACTCCCAAGAAGTGAAGCGTGATGGCATCTGTGTTCCATAGTGTCGGAGCTACAATTGGCTGGAGGAATCACCAGCCCCTGGCTGACTTTGAGAATGAGAGCCCAGTGCCTGACAAGTTTAGAAAGAAGCCTTCGTCAAGCGCTCTCAATACCCTACGCATGTCTCTGAGGAAACGAATGCCCTTAAAGCAAGTCGAGATGAACTTTGGGGAGCATCCAACTTGGGAAAGTCTGGAAGCAAAAGAGAAGCACCAAACCTTCCGGACTATCACAAGAAGTGCAAAAAATGCCTTTGGAACAGTGTCCCAGGTACTGAAAATGCCTTTGGAACAGTGTCCCAGGTAATGACCCTTGTACTACGGGTGACAATTCAGTTCATTACTTGGTATCCTGTCTTGTTTCAGAACTAACAATACCTAGCTGTGCTTTATTGCTGGACATAATATCTGAATTTTATAAATAGGAAACAATGTACCATGTCTCACTGGCTGGCTGCCAGAGCAAAAAGCGAAAGTGGTGCATAAAAAAATATGCGGGTCTTGATTTTTGCTCAAAACAACAATCCCCACCCACTCCAGGCTGCATTATGTGGAACACCCCCTGTCTCCCTGATGTCTCTCTCCCTCCAACTGCAGGGAGCCAGCTGCAGAGCTTGCACTGAAGCCTCCCTAGGAGTGGGACCAGCAGCAACTATTTGAAATCCCTAGGGGGCAGGCGTGAGCCCGCCCACTTCTAAAAGCCCGTCCCCCAGCCTTGCGGGAGGGACTTCTGGACCTAGCGCTCCACTGATTCCTGGAGACAAATAACAAAAAGCAGGGTCAAGGCCCCCCCCCCCCCCCCCCTTCCTTCTGGGCTCTGCAGTATCAAGCTGCAGAGCCCTCAGCGCATGTAACCGCTATAAAAATTTCAGAAGTTGCATTTTTACATCTTGGCTACGTCTACATTGCGCTTTCTTGCGCAAGTACATATGCAAATGAGGTGTGGCACTGAATATTGCTGCACCTCATTTGCAAACTTAATGAGCCGTCATTTTTGCGCAAGAAGGAGCAGTGTAGACTGCTCCTTGTGCAAAAGCCCCTTGCATAAAAATGGCAGCTCACTTGCATATGTTCTTGTGCACGAAAGTGCAATGTAGACATAGCCCTCTAGTCTTGATTATCTGAATGGATTTGCTGGGCTATCAGTGACCATGTTTTATGGAAACTTTGTAAGTGAGTGACTTTAGTTGTAGTGTATTTGGAGGTGAAATCGGTACAATATCGGCCACTTACTTATGGTCTGGATTTGGACTGGCTGTGTTCACAAAGGCAGCCAGTCCACAAAGATCAGGGCAGTTAAAGATGTACAGCCATAGTTAGACTGTACCTGGAGACGAGGTCTAACTTTTAAAGCTTGCTCTAAAACCAATGAAACAATTGCTGACCCAAGCCCTAGTGTCGACTCCATTTAAGTCCCACCCCTGAACTTGTGTCAGTGCCACTGTCACCTTGGCCTTGGGGCTCAGCCTGGTGGGGTAGCTTTATGCTCCAGCTGTCTTCCTGCCCCTCTCCTTCCTGCCAACGCTGCCTTGCTGCACTCTGTGTACTGCAGAGTGAAGGGGCCTGCAACTGGCTAGGGATGTTAACTGGTACTCAAGGAGAAGTTCCTCTCCAGTGGCCCGCTGGCTGGGAACTGGCAGCCCCACAAGAGGCTGGAAGCAGCTGGGCTGTCTGCAATAGGGAGGGGTGCATGTGGAGATTCTGCAGCCCCTGCCCACAACAAGCAGTGGGCCACCTCTGTTTAATCAGTTAACTGGCTAAACTTAACATTTAACTGGGTAACTAATTAAAATGGGACTTGACATCCTTACAACTCATCAGCACCTGGCTCCTTAGTGCACACAGCACCACGAGGCAGCAGCGGCCCATGGAAATGGAGTGTTCAGTTACCACCCTCCCAGCCATACCGGCAGACATGGCTCTGAGAGTAGTAGCCTGTTTCCTGACTGGATTCAGATACGAGCAGTCGGGTCCCTTTACCTTTTAGATAAGGTGGCAGGGTTCTAGGGTCAAGTGGGGAGGAAAAATATCAGAGTAGCATCCCTGAAGATCCTGCTGCAATTTGGTCCTTCCTCTGCCAAGGTTCTTCACACTCATAAGCTCTAGAGAGAGAAGACTTCTCCAGCATCTCTCTTGCAGCTCCTAGTCTTTACACCCACTTAAATTCACCGAAGCAAAGAGAAGCAGTGAAAATTCTAGGACTAGCTTTAGAAGTAGCAAAACACCAGTCCCCCCACGTGTTAAACAGATGGCATGACTGTGGTATTCTCCCTACCTCTGAATTGTTTCAATAACAGTGTGTGCATAGAGGGAAGAACGTGGAATAAGTGCTTCCTCCAATAAGCTTATTTCTACAGTCGAAATGCCAAGCCATGGCAGTAGGGCTTTTTGCCTGTGTAAAGGCTGCCAAATCAGGTCTGAGCATTTGTCTCTCAGGGGACCAACAAGTAGTCAGACCATTGGGGAGGTTGGTTGAATATTTCATGCTGCTTATGCTAGGCTGCACAAGCTATTTTAGGAAATGCTGCTAGCGAGGAGCACAACCCGCTTACTGCTGTGACTCATAGCTTGAAAGTAGATTTGAAGCCCAGGAGACAGCCCTGTAGGTTGAGGTATGTTAGCCAGGCAGCAAAGGGAAGCTTGTTTGTGCTGCTCTTCCCGTCTAAATGAAGGCTTTCCTTTTAAAGGCATCTGTAACAGATTCTGAAGCCACCAGCTTGATCTTGCACCACGTGAAATCAGCGAGAGCTTTGTCAAGGGCTTGTGTGGGTGTAGGATCGTTCCCAAAGACTAACTGGCCAAATGAGACATGCTGCTCTATTTTAGTTGTAAGTAGATACCTGCAAATCGGTGGATCGCAGTTTTATATCTGCAGGTATCCCACATCTGTGGACATAGATAGCTGCAGCTCACTTTTTGTAGATGTGAATGTGGATATAAATGTTGTATCTAGAACCCTGCACACTTGCAGCGATCTGTTTTATATCCACGTGTATCTGTATCCACAGGTGTCAGTGTGGATATCCGCGGCTCACTTGCAGATAATGATGCGCAGGGCTTGACAAATAATGTAATCTACTTGCCCATGGCGAGTAAATTACAACCTGGAAGAGCTGGGGCAGAATGCAGAGCCATGCAAAACCGCATGGCTGGCGAGTGGGGTTCGCCGCCGGTTGGCGAGCCCTGATAATGCGGATACATGTTTTGTGTCACACAGTGCTCTAGTTATAAGAAGCTGTGGCAGCAATGACAGCCATGCATCTGCTTTAGTCTAAGCCTGGCTCTAAGAGCTGCAAGGGGCGATGTTGATGTGCTGGGATTTTGTTCAGCTGAGGTATCATACAGCAGTTGCTAATCCAAGCTATGTCTGCCTTGCAGAAATTACAGAAGTCCTGTCAAAGTCACACACAATGTCTAGTCACCTCTCCAGCGAAAGCCCCTGCAAGGAGAAGTGTCATCCCTAGCTCTGCAAAGAGAAGCACTTCACCTCGAACTCCTCATCGGAAGACTAGGTTGGCCACGGTGACCACTCCACCGTCTGGTCCCAGATGTACCCCCCGGTCCAGCAAGAGAGCCTCCCTTTCATCCAGATCTGCAAAGAGCTTGGTGGAGAAAGAACGGAGGAGTTTCGCTCACTGGCTTGGAAAAGATGCTGTCCCTCTCCGGAGATCAAGGAGAGCAGCAGCTCTAAAGAGCCCATATTCATCACCTCTGCCTGCCAGCAGAAAGAGGCAAGTTGCAATCACTTGTATTTCTGATGACTGTGTTGTTGTTGTAGCCAGATCCTGGTCACATGTGAGGCAGCAGCTAAGCACTGCTCATCTTTTCCACCAAAACAGCGTGCTGCTATAATCGCTTGGTAGTATAGTTAAAACATGCCCCTACTTACCGAGGGTGTGGCATGAAATTTGGCTGTGGGAACTTAATTTTGCTTAATGACAGAACACCGAGCACTCCTACACCTTCCCCCTTCCCTTCTAGTGGGAGGGTGATACTAGGTTTACATCTTCTAATTATGCTGGATCCAGACTTGCTTGAGTGAAAGACATTTTAACTCTCTAAAGTCTGCATTGATGTTTGTTTGATAAATCAAGTCATTTTATTCAGTAATTCTGAGAAACATCAGAGCAGATTTGCACTGTGGTATCTAGGGTCCTCATCCATGATCGGCACTTCTTTTGTGTTAGGTGCTATACAAACAGCAAAATGGCCCCTGCCCTGGAGAGCTGACAAAAGGGTGTGGGGAGAAAACTAACTTCATGAACCATAGAGATTGGCTTCCCTAGGTCATAGGTGAAGACTGTCAGAATAGGGAGTTAAGCACATGCCTCCTGGATCCCAGTGCAGTGTCTGAACTATGAACACAACCCTTTCTAGATGAGATGCAATGGAGTTAAGGCGTGATTAAGGCTGCACACTAGGAGGGGGAGATGTACTGAGCTTTGGACTTGATCGAATCCTGTGGCTAGAGGCTTAAAATTCTATGGGACAGAGCATTAGTGTACATATGGTAGAGAGACTTCTGCCGCGTGAGGAGGTGTACTAGATCACTTATGCAACGTTTCAACCCTCTAACTTCATGCTTCCTTCTCCCATCAGAGAGTTTGACTGTGAGTTAGAATCCGTCTCTATGGGAATTCGCCAGCTGAGCCGTCTTTCTCAGGTGTTCGATGATGTCATTGTGAGAGAGGAGAGGTAAGCAAGATTGAGATCAGGGAAGAGGTTTATCTCCCCTCTCTAAAGCTGCCAGTGCAGCAGAGGATGGTCTCTCCAAAGACTTGCCCTTCCCATCCTGAATCAATGCTACTGCTCAAATAGAAATTAAAAGATCCCTCCAACTCCTAATGAAGATGTGCAAAAGTAATAGAAATTCTTTAACTGTAGCAAAGCCTTTCTGCTTTAAGCCTCTGTAGTTAGGAGTCTGCAGAGCGGCTCTCAACGCTACGGAAGCCTGTAACCCAAATTTCTCCTTAAATACGTGCTGCTTGCTGTAAAATCAAAATCCTCCCCACCATACTCAGCCCGTGATACCATCTCCTGCAAGTTAACCCCTTGCAGTAGTTCTAGCTGGGTTAATAGTCCAGAACGTGGCCAAGAGAGGCTTCCTAGAATCTCATCACAGATGCTTGACTTACATTTCAATAAGATTCGTTGTTAACTGAAAGCTTGGTTCAGAGCAAGGTAACACCTACGATAAGTTTGGCTTGTGCATTTGATAACAGTGTTTTATAGGCCATTTTCATAGTCTTCCTTTCCTAGTTGAGTCTCCTGCCCACATTTGTAGGAAAGGAAAACCCTATTAAAAAAGAAAATAACTGTAGAAGTGGCAGGGTGACTTGGAGGCTGGTGTATTCACTGATGCTGTTCCTAACTCTGACATTAACTAGATTTCAAGTTGAAATCTAGATTTCTGACGGTCAAACTTGTTTCACAAGATCATCAAAATTGTAACAAGATAAGAAAATTACTATGTAATATTGCCCAAACCCAGTAAAAAAATCTTGGTGGTAGAGCCTTTCTGTTGCAAGAGAATCACTGCAAGAAATTTAGTTTAAGTTTAGAAGTTCTGCAGTGGGGTGGGTTTTTTTGTTTTAGTTATCTCTTCTCGAATGAGCATCTTTGAAGTGCATTGTAATAAGTGTTTTCAAATGGAAAAAGTTTTGGTGCCCCACTAATCTCCTACACCTTCTTAATTTAAACCTAATTCTTGCTACTTAATTCTACTTGGATCTGGTTACAAATTAGGCAATAGTAGGAACTATCTCTGGACATGGTCCTGCCTTGCAAATAATAATGTCTGGATGTAGCTTAGCACAACATCATCTAGATCAGGGGCTCTCAACCCGTTTTCTTTCAGCAGACTCCCCCAATAGGCAATAAATTCCATATCCCACCTCTGCCTTAGCTCTTTTTCTGCTTATAAAAGCCAGACCTGGGATCAGGGGTTAGCATGCAGGAAAATTGCCCACTGCCCCATGCCACAGGGGGCCCTGCAAAGCTAAGTTGCTCAGGCTTTGGCTTCAGCCTGCATGGTGAGGCTCTGGTTTTCTACCCTAGACAACAGCAGATCTAATGTCAGCCATGCTCCCCAAAACCTGCTTGTGGCCCCCAATGGGGCTCTGGAGACCTGGTTGAGAACCACTGTTCTAGGTAACTTGCCCCAGAAAAAGGTTGGTGGAAATCCTGCAGAATTCCAACTATTTCTAATTACCTCAAGCCTATTTTTTTCACATGGGTCACTGGGCACAAGCTGTCAGCATCCTAATAGACAAGAGCCATGTGTCATTGAAATGCTCATAACTACTTAAAGTTCACTAAAGCCTCATTCCTAATATTCTTCCATCTGTTAGTGATATGACAGTTTCTCTCATTCGTAACTGAAGATAGTACCAGTCAGGTAAAGTTGTTGTTCTTAAGCTTGCATTGAATATGCTTCACCTGCATGTGGCTGAAATGGAGAGAAACTGCTATTTGGGGAAAACGAGTACGTAGAAAACTTTGAGTATCTTTTCTTTCTTTAAAAAAAGAATACTAATGTACAAAACCACCACAGACTGTTTTCTGAATCACTAGTGCTGCGTGTGCTCGTCTTGACTATAGGCTGCATTGACAGGCAGGGATTGATCTAGCGGGGCTTGATTTATCATATCTAGTACAGATGCAATAAATCAACTGCTGGGTACTCTCCCATCTGACAACAGTATTCCAGCAAAATAAGACGAGTAAGTGGAGCTGATGGGAGAACGTCAGTTCTTGACTTACCTAAATATGTCGACTTTAGCTACTTCATTCGCATAGCTGAAGTTGTGTAATGGCCTGGGGGAGTGTAGACATGGCCTTTTCTGCAGTTGTAATACAGTGCCGCCATCCAAACCCAGCTTCAACTGGTGGATTATAAGTCACTTTTGCCCCTGGTGGGTTTGCATTGAAACAATCATTTGACTTTTCTGCAAATAGCTGTTTTTCCTCATTCCAGACCAGAAAACTTCTGGTACTAATGTTTTGTCACTTGAGTTCTTACTGGTTACTCACTAACAATGTAAAGCATGTCAGAAGAGTGTTACTCCAACTTGCCTGATTGTGTGTTACTATTCTTAATGTCTTACTGTTAAGACAATGCTGCCTTGAGTAGGAGTTGACACATTTCTCAGTGATGCTTAAATATGACAATTGGATAGAATTTGGCTCTGGAACAAGCAAGGTTCTTCACTGTAAATTTCTGAACATTATGTCTTCAGCATCACTTCTCCAAGCCTTCCCATTAGCAGCTGCACTGTGACATCTCTAAATGCCCATAGCATTGTGTTGGAAGCTTTGTCCTAGGGATGTAAAATTTGGTTAACTGGTTTAACGGGGGAGGAGGGCAGGGCTGGAGCATGGTAAAGAGTGGGAGAACTGCAACCAATTCACCCAGTAAAGTTACTTTAATTGGTAATGCATGCTACTTACACACTAGCAATTCACTTTTACTGCATACAGTACTTAGATCCACCCCTTCATTCTAACACTTGCTGGTTTGAAGATCTTCTCTATTCTGTAGGAAAAGCACATCACTTTTATAACTTACTAAGTATGGTACCCTCTAATGCAGGGCTGGGCAAAATATGGCCTGGGGGCTGGATCTCGCCCCCCCCAAGCCACCAGATACATCCTGCAGACCCGCCCGCCGGGACCCTCAGGAACGCAGCTCCCTTGGTTTAAAACACAGTTCCTGTGGCTCTCTACTCTGCAGGGAGGGGGAGGCTTCATGCAATCTTCCTGCCCCAGCCCAACCCTCAGATCCTACTGGCCAAAAATAATCGGCCAATAAGAACTGACCTCAGCCAATCTCTCAGCTCCGATTGGCTGGAAACAGCCAACCAATCGGAGCTAAGAGATTGGCCTGAGTGACTGGGGTAGCGCAACCCTCTTCCCTCCACCCGGATTTCAGAGTCCCATGCATGCATATTTTCAAGCATGCTGGGGCTGAGACCAGCTTGCCTTGGGGATGCTGAAGCCTGCTGGTCAGGAGACACTTAGGTTAACTTTTCCCATGCTGGGCCTGCCTCTGGAACCCTAGACCCTCCTGCACCCCAACTCTCTCCCCTAGATCACATCCAAATCCTCTGCACCCCCTGCCCCAGTGACAACTCCCTCCCTTGCCTTGTACCCCCTCTTACACCACTCCCCAAAGCCAGAACCCTCCCCTGCAGCCATACTCCCTCCCTGATCCTACACCCCAATCTCCTGACCTAGGTCACAACCCCCTCTTCCATCCAAACACACTCTCAGACCCCACACTGTCTCCTACACCCCAGTCCCTTACTCTATGCATCCTTCTGCACCCAACCTAAACCCTGCACCCCCGCCACAGAAAAGTACACCCCTTGACCACTTACCAAAACTCTTAAGTGCTGCGCCTCCCCCAACCAAAAATTAGTGCCCACCCCTGGTCTAATGGTATCTCTACGTCTGCTTTCTGGTTGCCACTAGGTCATGAGCTGGAGTCTGACAGTTTTCCTCCTAATAGGCCTTGTGCAGGTAAACTTAAATAGACAATGGCTATTGGGGGAGGACGGGCGGGTTAAAATGTTTTTCCTCGCCCTTCACAAAACTGCTGATGTAAAAGTTACATTAGATGTAGACAGTCTCTTGTTCATATTTAAGCAAAATTAAACTACCCCCTACTAATGTTATTATCTAATGTATCATGTTGTTTAATCTGTTTGATGGCACACATGATGGCAGTATAAAAAATTTCTTCAATCGGGTTTTATGGCCTTCATAAAATCTCCTCCGTATACCAGGCATGCAGTTTGCTGACTTCTGTCTTGTTCTCTTCTGCCAACATTCCAACAGCTTGTGAATACTGGATGACCGGTTACTTAACCTTGCCCATTACTCTGTTGTATTCATTGCATTCCTTTATTCTTCACAGAGAACACGCGATATCAAATTATCAGCATCTAATGGCGCAAAACTTGCGATCTGTGCATCGGTCTCGGAAACTCTCCCAACCCTCTTTCAGGCGGCATGTGAAAAGGCTCCAGCGTGCAGTTGGCACTTGGACTGAGATGGCCTTAGCTAGTATTAACAATGTGTGAGCAAATGAAGGATTAACCATATATGGGAATTCTAGGGGGCGTATTTTGTTTGTTTGGATGTAAGTGATTGTGCTTTGCATAAGCTGTTAAACCATTTTTAGAATACTACCTTTCACTTTAGTTCAGGTCTCTTCCTTCTATAGATTTCTCCTTCCAAGGGTGCAGGAATTGTATTAAAAAGTATATCACATGACAACCCCCAGCAATGGTAAAATAAATTGAACTCCCTTAACTAACATTTTCAAATGAGACCAGCATTGTCTAGTGTATTCATTTTTTGGAGTGGGGCCAAATCGTGCTGAATGATTTTAAGGAAAGACTTTCCTGAATGTGCCTATATAGATAAGCTTTGGGTTATTGAAGTCACAGGGTTTAACTAAAAAGTCTCACGGGGTAGCCATGCTAGTCTGTAACTTTAAAAACAGCAAGGAGTCCTGTGGCACCTGAGGTCTGGTCTACACTAAACGGGAGGGTTGACTTAATTAACGTAGCTGGAATTGCATATCTTATGTAGCTGGAGTCTATGTATCTTAAATCACCGTTCATACAGTGCGGGGGGTTGCTCCTGTCAGCTTCCCTTACTGCTTGTGAGGAGCAGGAATACCAGTGCCTACAGGTGCACCCTCAGTTTGAATTAGAGGGTCTCCACAGATCCACTAAATCGAACCCTGGACGATTGACTCTGGCAGCGTCGATCTTTTGCATAGTGTAGTCATGGCCTTAGACACTAACAAAAATATATCTCAAATCATGAGCTTTGGGGAGTAAAACCCACATCATCAGTTGAGCTGGAGTGACAGAGTTGGCAACAGGGTTGGTTGCCTGGATAGAATCCTAATCTGAAGTGTGTTGGGTGGGCAGGCCTCTGCTGCGAAGTATTTGCTTCAGGTTGAGGTGGATGTCTGTGGGTGAGGATTGGCTTGTTGCCCGAGGCCTGTTGTTTCTACTCCAACTCAGCTGATGAAGTGGGTTTTACCCATGAAAGCTCATGATTTGAGATATATTTTTGTTAGTCTCTAAAAACCCTGGTTTACACTAGGCTTCTAGCTTGAAATAACCCCCCCTTCAGTCGAATTTCTAAGCAGAGCATCCACACTGCTAAGCCCATTATTTCAAAATAAGGGGCCACTTATTTCAAAATCCTTTACTCCTCCTTTTCAAAATAGCAGTAGTGTGGATGTTCCAGTGCTGCTAATGTCAAAGTAACTACTCCCCAGAGTAATTCAGGCTAATTACTCCCCAGTGCTTCCTCAGGCTCTAAGTCAAGGTAGTGCATTCACATTAACCAAGCCTGCCTTGGAGTAATTTTGAGGCTTCCCCATTGTGGGGACATGCTATTGATTTTGTAAAATTGGGAGTCAAGTTGAATTTGGTTATTTCAAAATAGTTTCCTAATGTAGATATAGCCTAAGGTGCCACAGACTACTCGGGGGTTGACTAATATCTAGTCCATCTTAACCTGCTAACAGCCGGGGCTTCATTTCTCTTTCATGCTACTGCTCCAAGACCTTTCAACAGCTGAGGAAAATATTGCTCTTGGAACCTGTACACACAACTGAAGACACTAACAGTCAATGTACTGAAGTTGGAATTGATGCTTGTTGCTTAACATTGTTCTTTGTGTAATGGCACTAGTATTAGTGTTTCTAATAGCTTTTGAGGCAACAGTTTTATACCAAATGTCAGACTCTGTAATACAGGCAATTTTAGTTCAATGAAGTATGGAAAACAGGACTCCTTCAGACTTCTATCATTCATCACCAAGGCCAAGCCAAAGCAATGTTGGGCAATAGGCAACCCATGGGCCAGATCCAGTGTGCTAGAATTAGCTCCTTGCAGGACGCTGCTGCTTTATTTATCTGTGCCTCCCCAGGTACGGGTGTTTGCAGCTCCTGTTGGCTGCAGATCACTGTTCCTGGCCAATGGGACACCACTTCCCACAGCTCCTGGCCCTCACTGTTTCCCACAGCTCCCATTGGCCACAGATTGCTGTTCCCGACCAATGGGAGCTACGATCACCCATACCTGCAGAGGCGTAGGTAAATATAGTGAACTGCCACCACCGTATTGCCCATCCCTGCTCTAAAGAGAACAGGTAAACAAAAGGGTGTTTGCCTTTTAAAGAAATCTGAGCTTTAAATCTACAAAACACTGACATATAAAATGTTTAAACTTAAACCTGTTTGTGGCCGCTTAATGGTAAACTCAGATTACTACAATATTGCCCGGTTTCATTTTCACTAAAATACTCTAGAGTTCTCTAAATCTTGTGCACAATTACTTAGAAATGTCTGAATGCTGTTCCTGTCTACATGTATAGCAAGATTAACTTTTTATCTTTTGCCTGCTGACAAGCCAGACTGTTTAAAAGATTAAACAAACTTAACAATGGGCTGGAACCCCTTCCAGTTTGAATTTAAAAAGTAGAGATGGCTTATTCTTTTAAAGACTCTCAGCCAGTGGAGAGCTTTTTATTGGAAGTTTTACTTGTATGAGCTGATCCTTCATAAAAAGAAATCAATAACAATTCTGGTTTGTTTTTATTTTCAGATTCTCAGCTACTACTTTTTCTTAAAAAAAAAAAAAAAAAAACCCTCAATTCCCATTCACTGCTTAAGTGGTCCAATTGTTTATTCCTGTCACTTCCTACTCAGTGCACACAAAGCATTTGTAGATTGCTTCAAATACCAGACTTGGCCCTTATTAGTTTTGACCAGTTAAAATCAAGGGGACTGTCTGGATGTGTAGTTAAAGGACAGGATTTGACTCTGTATTCCAAAATGTGGGTTCTTCACCCATCACACTAGGGAAAAATAGGAATCAACAAATGAAATTAATAGGCATGTTTAAGACAAAGTATTTCTTCACACAACACATTGTCAGCTTGTGGAACTCCTTGCCAGAAGATGCTGTGAAGGCCAGGATTTTAACAGGGTTCAACTAGGAGCTAGATAAATTCATGTAGAATAGATTCCTCAATGGCTATTAGCCTCTAATTGTCGGGGCTGGTGATAGGCCACTTGATGGCAACCTGTTCAGGATATTATGCTAGATAGCCCTTTGATTTGACTCAGTCTGGCCTTTGTTATGTTCATCTCCTTTTTCTTGAAGGCAACCAAGCAACGTGGGCTAACAGATGAGGCTCCATTTCCCTATTTTGACTATTGCAAGGTAGATACCAAATGGCACCATCACTTTTGACAGCTGTATGTCTTTGGTATTGTACCCATTTTCAGCAGGTGCATAATGCTTGGGAGCTTTACCTTGGTTTGCGAAAGAAATACCCACAACACTGTCCATGTAAAGGCAGAGAAGGTATTTATTTGACTAGCTTTTTATAAGACTCTTAAAAACCAGCTCACATCAAAATCTAGACCAGTTGTAAAAATCTTACTCCTTAGTTCATAGTTTAAGAAATTCATTATTGTACATGTTTTAAATTTTTACAAGGCAGCCATAAGAAATATAAACATTTGTCACCATAGATAGAACCTTTCCACTGACACACTGATTAAAAGTATACACTTAGGAAAACCGTAGGCTCAAAGACAATGTACAATTTCAAGTCTCCTCACAGGGATTCAGTTATAAGTAGACATTTTGTCTTCCCATGTAAATAGAAAAATAAGAAAGGGTTGGGGTTCTGCCACACAACTGCCATTTCTGACCCTTCTAGACAGAAGTATCGTCCAATACTTGCCATTTTTCCTAATTCTTCTTAATCTCTACAGCTTTAGCTTGTTGGTGTTCCGCTCTACACAGAAACCTGCCTGTGTTCAGCCTGCCTCCCCTTACCCTGCAAAGCACTGGATTGATGGTAAATCTGCTCTGAGACTTTAACTCAAATTTTTCCACCTCTTCCCAGAAGCAGTTTTATACTGTCCAGTTGAAAATCACAGGCAGATAGAGCCCCCACCCCCTTTTTCATGGATCTGAGACAGAAGGAGGGACTGTCAGCTCTGTATCATGCAGCGCTACACAGCCTGGGACATAAGTAAGTTTGTCATATTCAGCTCAGTCTGTATCATGCCTATGCTCCAAGGGATCAATCTCCTGTGTAGGATTACCATATCTGAACTTTCAAAAAAGAGGACACTCCTATATGTAGATATCAACTCATGATGTATTAATGTTGTTCGTGTTATATTTTATTTATACATATAAATGCTCAGGGGTGTCTTTTTTTTTTTCTTTTGAAAGTTCAGATATGGTAACCCTACTCCTGTGGAGCAGCTTTGCTTTCTGGGCAAGTAGGGTCAGACATATCAGAAAGCAGTTCAGAAACTCACAACTTTGTATTAAGGAGACTCAAGCCTGTATCAGTTCCAGGCACGGTGAAAAGGGGCCACACTTCTAATTTCTCCACTCCCCCAGAGGAAATAGCCAGATGGAAATTCTACGACTCCACAGTCAGTTTTCAGTCCCTGAAATCAGAAAAAGTTGGCAGATAAGCTGATCCTACATAATATGAGCACAAAGGTGGTTTTATCGTAACAAAATAATTTATTCTCTTCGGATTTGGATAGAGGAAAACCTGGGGGTTTTTTTTAGTGTTGTACTCCAATAGAGTGTTGGTTTTTTACCATTTTACTTTCAGACTTTTAAAAATTATTTTTGTGCTCAGATCTTTTTTTTGAAAGAAAAGATTCTAAACATTGGCCACATGTAAGCAGGCTGTTTCAGAAACAAAGGGAGTATAAATTTCTCACACTTTTCCTACTTGAGGCCCTATTAATAAGAGAAGAGTGCTCTGGGCTCTTTGCATACAATCTGCTTTTAAAAGCATGTGACTTGACTTGTTTCAATAGGCCTGTGGGCATTTGCACTGTGCAGAAAACTTTTGCAAAGTGGAAGCAGGACATCCTGTTTGTTAGTTACACTTCCATTTTAATGGGTCTATCTTGGCTCATAGTGCTTAATGAAATCTAACTTTTTGACAAATAAAGCTTTCTTAGCGGATGGCTTGCTCTGTCTCCTCCTCACTCCTGAAATACGCCTTAGCTACTTTGAAAATAGTAGCAAATAAGAGGAGGCAGCCCTATATTTTCACTAATACCATCTTCTAGAGTCTGAATGCTCTCTACTGTGTGTTTAAAAAAAAGAAAAGAAAAGGGCTGCTAGGTGTATTGACTAGAACGTGATTAATGTTTTGCTTCCCATCGAACAATATCAAAATGGCAGCTGACTGTCCGGAACCCCAATAAGCGAGGAGGGACAATGGATGTTGTGTCGTTCTCACATCTAACAAAATAGTATGCTGGCTAGATATAAAACATGCCACAGGATAAACAAGAATACTTTGGTCAAGCAAGAAGATTTTGTTCCAACAGCACTAGTGTAGGCAAATGTGTACTTGAACATTTCTTAGCGACATACTCATCAAATTTGGATTACCATTGCGATGCATGTCTGTGGAATATTCTGCAGTCTTTACAATGCTACTTTTTTCAAACTTACCTAACAGGACAACAAACAGCAATTGTAAAAAAGGCATATTAATTACAAATTTGCTGTGAAAGCTTTACCAAAACTTCACATTGGGTGCTTATTAAATCAGTAAATTTACACACACGCTTACACAACAAACACTACAGCTACAAAGGTGTCTTTTCATAATAGCTCAGATAACAGTCCACCACTGCTAGTTAATCACACTCTTTTTTTACAATAATAAACTGGGTCCATAAACATGGCAGAGAAATAAGTGTTCCTAGTTGTAGCCTGCCTTACTTTTTCATTAAATTTTGCCTGCTATGACTCTGTTACAGTATATTTCCAATTATTCCCTTGGGCTACCTGGGCAGAAGACTGTGCTTTTCCATATCAAGCAGTCAGGAGGCACTAAGGTTCAGAAATTATTTATGTGCCCAACCTGGGTTCTGTGAGCACTTGCAACTTCCTTTTGATGTCTTAATTCACAACCATGCTAGTTTTGAGTGTGTAAGGACATCTGGTAGTAACTTGATACAAACAGAAAATGATACTCAATCTGATAATGAATTAGCTTTTGAAGACACACTGCTAATCCCCTTAGTGAA